ATCTTTTAACTTTCATATTATTTCATTAATTTTATATTTATTTTTATAAATTACTCATATTAATTATATAATTAATAATATTATAATTATATTATATAAAAAATATCTAAATTAGTTGTATAATTATATTTAACATAAAATATATTAAAATATAATTAGTTTTGTAAATAATTTTTTACAATTAAAATTTATATAAATAAAAAAAGTATATTTATACTATTTAAAAAACTATTTTATGAATTTAGCTATAGATATTTAATATAAAATTATCATCGGAGATGCTCTAATAGTCAGCAACGAGTGAACAGAAAGCATCGCGTCGTTGTTCCTCAGGTGGCTAGCTAAGCCGGCGAAATGAACAGTGGCTGGTGGCGCGAGAGAAGGTTTGACAAACATTTTCTCTCCCGAATCCTTCCCGCGCAAGCAGAAAGTGTTTAAGCTCACTTTCTTCTCTCTGATTCAAGAATCCTAACCCCTAATTTCTCGTATCCAAACCCTAATCACAATGAGCTACGCAGCCTACAGGATGATGCACTGGCCAACCACCATAAACACGCGTGTCTCTGGTTTCCTGACTCATTCTCGCTCTGAATTAGCCCATCTTCCTCTACTCCACCCTAATGATCTTGACCCCGAACTGAATTGTTGCTTCCGGTAATGTTCTTCACCTAGCACGATAATATTTTTTTAATTTTACTTTGAATTGATTAAAATCTAAAATTTATTTTAATTTATTTATGGAATTATTCCAGATTAGTCTATGCTAACTCGGTTATTTTTTAATTTTTTTAATTTTATTTATTAACATTAAATTTATTAAAAATTAAATTTTATAATTTATTATAATGTATTTTCTTAGGTTATCATAATTTTATGTATTGATAGGGTAATTTAAATTAATTTAATAATTTAATATTTATTAAAAATACTTTATTTTAAATATTTATTTTAAATTAAATTATATTTTTATCAGAGTTGTTTTTAAATTAATAAAAATAACCAATTTAAATCGAATAACATATTTTGATTGATAAACAGTATAACATGGCCAATGATCTAGTTGTTGCTAAGCTTCCGAATGACTTTTTATTGTGTTCTAGTATATCTCTCTGCAGCCCTGTCCAGGTTCAAAATGGTTTCAGGATCAGTACCGAATATACTCATGGTCTTCTATTGGAACACGGATCAGCACAATCCTCAATCCAACGTACAGCCACTGTGGCACCCTGTTTAACCGGTAGACGACGAGCTGAATCGTCAAAAGCTTATACAAGAGAGAATGTAGGCATTATAATACTGATTTTTTAAAATATTTTTTATTTAAAAATATATTATATTAAATTAATTAAAAAATATTAATTTTATTTAAAAACCCTTTTAAATGACACTCAGTGCAAGTCTGCATACTGAGTGAACATTTGGAAACGGGGTTGGTTATATCTATATTTATAAAAAAAAAATATTTTTATATATTTTAATACATTGATTTTAAATATATTTTTTAAAAAATAAAAAATAATTTTTTATTTATTTTAAATTGTTTTAATACATTGATTTTAAAAATATTTTTTTAAAAATAAAAAATATTATTTTAATATATTTCAACATAAAAACACTTCAATAAACAATTATAATCACACTATGCTCCCAAACAGTCCCGAGTGGCCCTATATACAGCAAACAAAAGCAAATCACGAGCATACAACTGTATAAACGCCCTTCTGCCGTCTCATAAATAAAGAAGGTTCAACGTTCGACAGCGGAACAAACAGGAGTAAAAGGTTCAGAATTGTTCTGGTTTTCCATAGTTTCGATACACCAGTAAACAACTCAGCAACTCATTTTATGGGGAGAAAGAAAAGGATCCTTAATATAAAATACATTCTGCATCAATTTTTATTCCTTCTAACCAGACAACAGGCTATGAAGCCACCACACCTGTGTCCAAAACCAGTGCAGAGCAGGTGTGCTTGGACTTAAGAATTTTCTTTATCATAAACTTCACCTGCATACTTCCAGTTCATTACCGTCCATATGTTCTTTAGATAATCAGGTCTGGCATTCTTGTACTGCAGCATGGAAAATAAACTTCCAGGTCATATAAGTGAGAGATGGAAGCAAACAAAAGGGCGTTTAAATTTGCAGGTAGCCTAAACAGGAAAAATAGTTATGGCGATGCACAAGGAGGCAGGCTTTCACTCGCATTATTATGAAGGTGAATCTAATTGATCACATGAAACGTTCTTCTATCAACATGATAAATTGAGGGAGGAGATGATTGCTTGCCATTTTTTCCCTTTTCTTTTCCAACATAAAGAACCACAAACTGACTGCAATTTGATTGACTAGCGAGCTCAACATTAATGTAAGGTAAATCTTGATCATGGATGATGGGTGTGGCTGTGGCTGTGGGTAATGCTAAAAGATTGTTCAGGTATACTAAATCAAGTCCTGGTTTCACGTTTTGGTTGCGATAAAAAAATATCAAAATAACTGCTGCTTTAAGTATGATGAGAACACAAAATGCAAATTGGTCCCAAATTTAAGTGATTGGAAAAAAGAATACTAAACACTCATTTCATGACCAACATGCCCTTATCCCATGAAAATGGCATAGCCCAAGGAAAATTGGAAACTTTCACCTTTCCTATTGTAAGCAGATAACAAGTTTAGTTCATTTCTACACTCTACCCCTGATGCACACTTCCAACAAAGAGGAATTTTTTTTGAAATTCATGATGCTAGCTAACCAACAAGTTTATTTAAACTGAACTCTCCAACAAATTCTATGGCAGCCAAAGCTATATAACACCTTAAGCTCCAAGGTGGGTGATAAAGATTAAATCCAACCATAATCGAAAACTACTGTTACAGGGTCCTCTCATCACAAAGAAATAAGCAGCAAGCATCACATAATGACCAGAATGCATGATTTGGACAAAAGTTTTACCTGTAAGTAGTATGCATGCTCCCAAACATCAATTCCAAGTAATGGAACTAAGGGTCCTTTAGTTACCAATGGATCCTGTGACAAGAATCAAAAGCATAATTAGATCAACTAACACTACCAAACAATAACAAGCATCTGCAGACTAAACACGTTTGGGGGCATATATCTCTTCTAGAATCTAAATCAGATATGCAAAACAACCAAGTTCAGCACCTGCACCGGGAAGTCCTTTCTAACTTGTAAAAGTTAGATAATTACAGAACTCACAAATAAGCAGGAAATAGGATGAATGTTTAATCATTAGTCCAGCGCAAAATTTATTCTCCTATCTAAAAGGACAAGGATCTTATCCAAGAAGAATCATAGGAAAAAAATTACAGCATACAGCAAAAAATTAGATACATGTTTAATCATTGTTGTCTTGGAGAATCATATAAATTAGAGTTCTTTTTCTATCTAGGGTTCTCATAAGGAGCCTATGCTTTTGATTTAGTATGATCAATGGATAACAGTTTTGACACAGCAGCAATTTATGAAAATTAATAGTCATTATGAGATGGCTTTATAACAAAATTTGTAAATTTTACTTGATTTGCTGTCGTCTCAACCACAAGCTTCTTTGATTCTTTGTCCAGGCCAAACCACTGCAACAAAAGAGAAGTGTGTAAGGAAGTCGCAAACAAGCATATTATAATTATAAGGAATACTAAAATTGAAAACCATTAAAACTTGAACACACTGAACTACTTACCACCCATCCAGAGCCCTGCAGAGCAGCACCCTCTGCGCTCATTTTTTGAATCAATGCATCCAAAGAACCAAAATGTTCATCAATAGCCCAGCCCAGGTTACCATGTGGTGATTCGCCACCTCTTTCCTGCCATATAAAAGCATTACTGTTATGTACGGAATCAAAAGCGAGAGCCAAATATATGTAAATAAACAATAAAACTTACAGAGACAGGAGAGAGATTCTTCCAGAATATTGAATGGTTGACATGACCTGCATAAGAATAATTAAGTCAAGGATGCTGATACAGCAACACTAGCATGGATGTCAGCAAACAAAAGTTTCAGTTTTAAGCTATTCTTGTTTAAGTTTTGAAAATCATATCAAGTTGAACAACCTAAAGATGAAGCAATAACCACAATAAAAGGCAATACATAAAAAGAGATAATCTTTTTCTACAAATTGACAAGCAAGAACAACTTCCGGCAATATTAAAGGTTATATTTGTTTCCTCTCATAACAAAAATTCTACTACTATAGGTGGATCTTTCCTAAGCAAAAGCAGAAGAAAATATATTAGCAATCTTTTCCTTTCCAATCAAACTGAAACTATTAGGTAATCTTTGAAGCTGGTGATCCTTAGAATCATGCATTTAAAGGCATCTCAACAGTGTTCTCTGCTTGGGCATAACAAGAAATTTTTAGAACCATGCCCAAATACCAAGTTATCAATACTTTCCCAAGATCCGCCTAATTGAGTGCAGAAGGCTGAAACTTGTAGCATCAATTTTGAGCAGAATTAATGAAAAGCTGCTAAATAAGACGGAGTCATTATCAAGTAAAACAAGCAACATTTTTTATCCCACTCTTTCCAGATTTCAATTTTCTCGCATAACAACATAGCGGGAAGCTGACCCAAGAATACTCTCACCCTTAAAATCCAGTAAACACTTTGAATGACTTTAAATTGTACCCTAATTAACGAAAAAAGATTATTCACATTAAATGGCCATTCAAGCAGCTCTCCTTCTCTTTACCAAACAAATTAAATTATAAACGAATAAACGCATCAAATTTAGTAAGTCACGAGTCTAATTTATCAAAAAGAAAAAAAGTTGAACCTCCGCCGTTGAATTTGATAGCGCTCTGCAATTTGACAACGGCAGAAGAATCGCCCTTTTCCATGGCATGATGAAGTTGTTCGACCGCCTTATTGTAGTTGGTGACGTAAGTCTGGTGGTGTTTCTGGTGATGGAGCTGCATAATCTCCCCGCTAATTGCAGGCTCCAAAGCTCCATAATCGTAGGGAAGATCGGGCAATGAGAAGGTCTGCAATCCACGGAAATGAAGCTTGAAGCCTGAGGAGGAGGCTAGGGATTTCCGACAAACGAAAGAGCGGAGAGCCATTGGAGAAAGTTTGTTGACAATATAATATTGGACTCCTACACGTAACTCGTAAAGTGGGAGGCAATGGGAGGAGTGGAGTGGATTGGAGCTAGTCTTGTGTGTGTGTGTGTTTATATATACATATATTGGGTGGCGGAATCTGGGTGCGCATCCAGCGGCGAGCATGGCTTTAATAGCTGGTAACGCGGCCAGATTTCTTATTTTGTTTTTTTTATATATATATATATATATATATTTTAAAATGTTAATGTTAAAAATAAATTTAAAAAAATAAAAAATATTTTTTAAATATATTTAAAAAAAATATTTTTTTAGAATAACCTAGATATCCTATCAAACTCGCTTTATAAATGAAAGAGGATATGGCAAGCTATGTTAAATTATGAATTTTTATTTATTTATTTAATTTCAATTGTTTCGTTTATCAATTTTTATTTTTATTTTTATTTTTAAGTGTTAATTTTATTATTTAATTTCAAATTAGCAGTACTATATATATATATATAAAGTATTACTCATGGAAAAAATAAATAAAAACATTAATAAACATAACAAGAAATTGCTTTTACGTGGAAATGAAGGAGACCGGTATTTGTGTAATTGTAGACAGTTGTAGGGGTGGGTTTAAGATAAAACCATGCTTATTCATTGTATTTGGGGCGAGAAACGGCTTCAGCGAGACAAATGAAGGTGTCGGAGTCCACTTCTTTTTAGTCTTTGCATCTGAAATTGTATCTCAATGACTTTTAAAAATATATTTAGTTTTAAACAATATTATATTAATATTTTTGCGTGTGAGATTGCACTGCGATGGGTTTTTAAAATATATTTAATTAAAAAAAATTAATTAAATTTTTTTATAATTTTGATATACTAATTAATATGAAAAATAAAAATAATAAATATATAAAAAAGATTATTCCAAAACATAACTCTTAAGTAATCTGTAAGGATCTAAATGTAACATTAAGAAATAATGTCATATAAGAATATAATATTTAATCAATGAAGAACAATCAGTTAAGATTACATCAAATAATTGTTCAAAGGGTGCTGCAGGTGAATGCATAAACTTAAAATTGAAAATAGTAGTGAGATTTGTTTACCATTGTGATAACTTTGCAAAATCAAGGACTACAATGGAATTGTTCCAAGAAAAAAAGGACTACACAGAAAAGCCTACTAAGGAAGAAAAAAAAAAAAAAAGATGGCCGGAAACTTTGAATTCCATAGAAGAATACTCAGGTTCGTATTAATTATTATTTTTAATTAATATGATTTTTAACTTTATGAATTTGAAATTAATAATATTAATAGTTAATTTTAAACGTTATAAAATTAGAATTTATTTTTGGAATTTACCATAGTAAAAAAATTAAAAAAAATAACACATGAATTTCTTAACTTGTTAAATGGACAAGCAAAATTTAAAAAAAAAAGAGAAAAAAGAAAGAAAATAAATTATTTTATTTTATGAAACCCTATACAGGATGTTTTTCCTTCTAAATTTTCTCAAATTTATAAACATGATTAACAGCTTTTTTATATAATGAATTTTAAAAAACGTTCGTTTGCAGCCTCAGTCGTCGATGAACAATAGAATACGTCATGGTTTCTGGAAAAAAAAAAAAAGGCAATAAATTATTTTTTATTCTTTTCTTTTATAGAACCCGAAACCTCCAAGCTCCCAAGTTTTGGAGCCTCGGATTCTCAATCAAGAATAGTGAATCACCTGTGGGTACCAACTATCCTAGGCACCATAACGTTAAAAATTGTACAGAAATCATTTAACTAAGATGATGACCCAATGGTATCATCATAAAAATCTTGATGGGATATGATATTTATAAAAATCACAATCAATGATTAAAGTGAAATACACAAACCACCTGAATATAAATGAGACACTAGTTCCTACTGCTTTTTTATTTATAATATATATAAAAATTATTAGTTAAAGTAATTAATTTAAATGAAACTTGACTTATTATTAGTTCTTGTCAATTTCAACAATGAAATAAAATGAAAAGAATTTCAATTTTGTATTTTAGGTGAAATGAGTGAACCAGATTTTTTTAAATAGCTTATGGACCTATTTTAATTATTACTAATGATTTTTTTATATTATTAAATTTATTTCATTAAAAAAAATTAATAATGTTACTATGAAAGCTTTATAGTCACTTTGGTGTCTCTCTTTTTATTTTTTCTTCTATCATTTTATAAATCACAATAATAATAGAGAAAAAAATAGAAGACACACAAAAACTATGATGGCGACACTATTATCTATTAAAAAGATCTTACTAGGATAAATTTAATAATACAAAATAAATTCACTCGTTATAATTAGGGTGAGTCACATGAGTTGCTTAAAGAAAAATGAATTATGCTTCATTTTTATAGTATTTAAATTATCAAATCCAGTTATTATTGATAACTTTTTTTATTATTTGAATTCATTTTTTTGATAATGCTAATAATATTGTCATTTTTTATAATACTAGAACTCTAATGTGTTTTTCAATCTTTTTATTTCTTTCTCCTCTCTTTTCATTATAATTTGTATGAGTTTATTTAACAATTTAAAAGGGTTACACGTGATATATGTAACTCACAAGCTTGTAGATGTGATTTATAACCTTTTATATTATATTATTTTTCTAGATATTTTTTTAATTATGTTATTTCTCTAATTTTTTTTTGTTATTATGCTAAGTTAAATAAAAGACTTTATAAAATTAAATGGTTTTTCGTCCTATATTGACAATACAATGGCACTTAAAAACACAACATTATAAGAGATTAGCATTGTGGTGGCATCCACGTTTATTCAAGCTTCTTAAATTTATGTGTTTAAATAACTTAGTTTTATAATGCATGAAAGCTCCTCTTTCTCATTTTAGATATACATGCTATCTCTTACAAAATTTGTTATGTTAAATTATGTGAATGATTTCCTATATAAAAAGGATGCGTTTTGGATTAACCTTTGAATGAATGAAAAGGTAAAATACTTATTGTGAAAATCAACTAGTAAAATAGTTATTTTTTTCTTTCTCCTTTCATTAACAAACAAATTATCTGCAAAAATTTAAGCATTACCAATGGTTAAAAAAAAAAAACAATTTCTAGTTTAGTCTATATCTATATTTTTAAGTAACATACGTAATATATTTTCAATACAATATAACCTCAATAAATTAATAACACTTATTAAATACAATTACCAATGATAAAAAAAAATTAATTATTCTTTATCTTTTATCCTTTCATGTCCATTAATGACTTCCCTATATTGTTTTCCACGATGTAAAATGTTGAGCTAGCACCATTTTTTTCATTAGTTATTGTTCGTGCATTGATGGTAATAAAACAATAGAAATAGAACGACCTACTTATATAATTTAATAAAAAACTCAATTTAGTTTGCTTACATGTAATTTATTATCAATTGAGTTTTAATTTTTATTGATTTTATCAATTTTATCTTAAATATAATTGATAATAGATAATATTATTTGTCCATCTATTTTTTATAAGTGAAAATTTAAAAGATTTTATCCAAATTTCATGTCTTCATCAATGTTTCCATTCAAAATACCAAATGACTCCTAATAGGTCCTAAATGAGAAGCTACCCAACCACCATCCAGAAAAACCTATATAATTATTTCAAACCCACTTTTCTCGCATACACATATATCAAAAAATAAAATGATAAAACTATACTTATGAAATGACCTTATTAAAATAATTACTCAAAATATTAAATGTTAGATATAAAAAACTCATCAAAATAAATAGTTGTTATAAATCAAGATAAAAATTATTAATCAAATAGTATCTTATCATCAATATAAATATAATTAAAAATTTAAGGACAAATCATTGTCAAAAACTTAAAATCAAACGTTATTACAAGTAATCAACCATTTTTGATATTCAAATCAAAGATTTACCTCATCAAACTCAAGCTCGTCATCTTATTATGATGGTCAATATTTTTATGAAAAGAATATAGACGGTTTATAATGAATAGAATATTATAAATAAATTTTAATAAATGAAAATAGTTGCTATAACACATAAATTTAAAAATTAATTATACAAGAAAATAGCTCAAATATTAATCTTTGACTTTATTGGCCAACTCAAAAGTCAATAGAATTATTATCTCACCCAAAATAACATACAACTCGTATTAAATGATGCCAAGATAGAAAATAAAAATATTATTTCAATTTTAATATTCGTTATCACCAAACATTTTAGAGGTGATCCTCAACAATTTCAAGAAAAATAAAATGCTAAATATTATTAAAAACCTATATATAAAACAAAATGGTCAATGGTCAAATAAACCATATATAACATTAAAACAACCACCAATTGTTATAAATGTGATCGAGGAGGACACTATAAAAATTAATTAAAAAAAAATCTAAAAATTAGAAATTAAAAATAAAATTAAAGATGAACTTATCAACCTTATCAATCTTTTTAACTTCGGTATTAATACTAGTATTGATATTCAATAAGATTTTAGTGATGAAGTTCTAATTATTCAAAATTCAAGTGATTTGTATAGGTATTGAGAAAATAAAAATTATAATCCAACAATATTATTAATCAAGTTTTTTATTTTTATGTGGATGAATTTTACTAGATTTTGTGCTAAAATGATCTTCTAGGACAAATTGTAATTTATTTTTACATAATGGATTGATGTGTTTAGAAATCATGGGCAAATTAATAGGAATTCTTTTATTGTGTCTGTGTGTCTGAAAGTGTGTTGTAATAATTATTTTTTAAAATTATTTTTATTTATATTTAAAAATCATGAGCAAATTGGTAGGGATTCTTTTATTGTGTCCGTATGTATGAGAGTGTGTTGTAATAATTATTTTTTAAAATAATTTTTATTTAAAAAATAATTTTTATTTTTGTTTTTAACATTACCACATGATTAAAAAAAACTAATTTTTATTGATAATGATCACTAGAAAAAAGTAAATTGAAAAAATAATAATATTTTTTAAATAATTAACTTTTAAAAAAGTAAACTTTTTAATAATTTTTATTGTAAAATTTTAGAAATTTTATTTTAAAAATTATTAAGTTGTTTTTTCTTTTTATTTCTTAAGCATTTCCAATTTTTTTAAGTCAGTTTATTTTTTTATTTCTTAATACTGACAAAATTGTAATTGCCAAACATCCTCCTATTTTGTACAATTTAACTAAATTCTATAAATACAAATTAAATTTTGATCAATTTAATTTATTCTTACAGGAGCTAATTCCACATATTGAAGGTTTCTCCGGAAAGAGACCTAAAATATATGCATTTTAGAGAAAGAAAAGAAAAAAAGAATAATATATCTCCACCTGCTATGACTTTCATCCAAATCCAATGGCGTCCGTCTGCTTCAATCCCATAAACAATTTTCAAAACATAAAGTACCAAAAGAAACAAAAGCTTAAACAAAAAGGACAATAATGAAATGAGGGAAGGAGCAAGGAAGGAGGTTTCTTCCTTGTAATAAAGGAACCTTTTTATTTCCTTCTACTGACAGACAGTGTCAGATCCATCCAGGTCCTGGGACGAGGGGACGGAGCTCTTTTCTTTAATCACGAAGGTAAGCCCTTTTTGGGTTCTTGAATTTTTTGTTGCAGAAGCTTTTTGATCACTACCAATTGGAATGGCGATTTCATTTAACCTATTTTTTTTTCAGAGATTGAAACAATGGACAATTCAAGTGACGTTATAGATACGGTCGGTGGTAATGGAGGAGGAGACTCAAGAAATGACGCCACAGCTTCAACTTCGTCCGCTGCTTCTTCTCCGAGAGCAATAACTTCTGGGTATCGATTGTTTGATCGCCAAGACTCGCTTCACCAGCTTATGGGTGGTGGCAAAGGTTTTTTATTCGACTTTGATCCTTTCTTTGATTGCAAGATTTCTATTGGGTTTTCTTGAATGGATGCAACGGGAGGGATACTAAAAATGAAGAAAAAAAAGTTTTTTTTTTGTTGGGGTTTTGATCTTTGGTTAACAAGATAATGGTTTTACCTTAATGTTTTTATTCTCATTGTTGGCCGGGGAGGTTTAGATAGAAGAATCTGACAGACGAAAACTAGAACGGTGGTGAATGGGATTTAAGGTTTTAGCATTTGTAGAATGTGTAATGACAAAATTTATGCTGTTTAGATTTCTGAAGATTGAGTAAACTGATGATAACTAGCTCAAGAAATTCTCAGGGAAATGAATGAGTGGGACTTGAATTGAAGAAAAATAATGAGTGAATTTTAGTTTGCATCGCTTTTCTTGAATTAAATGACTAAGCTGTGGATATACCTTGGAGAATTGTTAATATTGAAATGTAGACTAAAGGCCTTTTCTTTTGTTACCAATTATTATAAACAAAGATTTTTTTTGTTTTGTTTAAAGATGACCTTGTTTATTTTTGCGTTTCAAAAACGTTTTTGAAAAAAATTATTTTTTTTATTTTTTTCTTTGCTTTAAATTAATATTTTTTTGGTGTTTTTAGACCATTTTGATGCGTTGATATCAAAAATGATTTCTAAAAAATAAAAAAATAATTATTTTAATATATTTCGCAATGAAAAACATTTTGAAAAGTAACCGCAACCATATTTTCAAACATGCTAAATTATGATGCGGGACAAAAGAGATTTGAAGCCTAATAAGAAAGAAAATAAATAGCTAGGAGGAAGAAGAAGCTGAAGAAAGAGAAAGAAGAAGAAGAAGAAGCTGAAAAAAATTAAAAATAGAGTTGGAAAAGTCTGAAACTTTGTAAATTTTTTTCAATTCATTACAAACTAAAACATAATGTCAAGACAATTATATATAAATAACAAAACCCTATTCAAAATCAAATTTGGGTTTAAATCCCATTAACTAATAAAATTCTAATAAAATCACATAAACTGAAGTCCAGTAACAAAGATAAATAAAATCTAATAACTTGGGCTTGGATGAGCCCAATCTCCCAACCAAAAAACAATGAGTTAGGCTATCCTTTATCTTCTATGATCATACGAGCGTGCAAACAGTGTCTTGGGTCCAATATCACCACCAACTCTCGCAGGGTTGGAGAAACTTGACCCTGTCGAGTGTAATTCAAGGCGGCTCCAATAACACTTTCAAAGATCATGATCAAGCTGCTGTGATGTCTCTCTGATAATTCAAGTATAGTCTTAATCTGGTCGTCTAGCTAGGGCAGGGGTTTCAAAAGGATCATCGGGGATAAATTGTTGTGTTTTATATATAACAAGGTTCATGTAAAAAATAGAGCTAATATCAAAGTTTATTGACAATCTAATGACATAACTATTTGATTCAATCATTTGCAGCACTTTAATTGGTCTAACACTACTCACTTGCAATTTATGATTGGTTTTCAAAAGACACTGTTCAAGTCTACTCTTATCATGAAATAATCTTTAATATTAAATGCATCATAATACATATGTAATTCATCTTGAAATCTTTATTGGTCATTACTTGAATTTGTTTTATAATCCAATATGCAAATTATGAACTCTACATGTGAAAGACTCAGTTGAATAAGACATTTTAGAGTGAGGAGACATAGGAAGAAGATCTACAAGCTTTCCAAGCTCATAACTTTGAACACTATATGACTGAGGGTGAGGAGTGGAACAAACACTATTTGAAGCCCTAAACAATATAGTTTGGACACAACCTAGTAAATTATGATTATCTTTATCTTTCTCATCACGTGTCAGGGGAAGAGGATCAAGGGACTTGACACGTTGCTCTAAACCCATGATGTGCTGGACGTCAAGCATGAGAGGGTGAGGAGCATGTTGCTTTAAACTTTTGATGTGCTGTACGTCAAGCATGGTGAGTGAGGAATCTGGTGGTTTAAGAGGACTGATATCATGTGACTTTTCTAAGACCATACTTACTTCTTTGAGTGATTCCACTAAAGAGTTTCCTAAAACTTCTTCCTCTACCACAAAAGCAGAATTATTATATTCTTTATTAACCTCATTATCAGACTCAATTGGACTAATAGTGTTAAATTCCCTCGTCTTGCACATCCTCTTCATCCATGTTACTAAAATTCTTAGGATTGATTTCATACACTTGCACACAATGATTTTTCTTTTCATCTATATTCTTATTTTTTGGATGACTAAGAGTTTAGAGGTGCAATTGATGGAGATATGACCGAAACCTTGATAGTTAGCATATTGAACCTTTGAACTCATCTTGGACATTTCATTAACGATTTTTTTCCTCTTATTTTCTCTATAAATTTGGGCACTACTAGAATTAAGTCTATATGATGAAGCTCCTAACAAAGAATCATCATTCATAAATTGAGATTTAAAAGGGGTAAGACAGGGTCTTGATATTTTATCCATTGACTATAGGATAGGCTTGGTCAAGAGTGAAAGCACCTATAATCCTGATCTTTTTTCTAAAATCTTCATTCAAACCTTAACAAAATTTACGCAAAGTCATGATTTTATTTTCTCTTATGGTACATCTTATCATGTAATCATTAAATCGTGCTATATATTCATTGACAAACTTGTTCCCTTGCCTTAGATTGTTTCATTGATTTAAGACTTGGTAGGTATTTTTCCTATAGTTTTTGTTTCATTGTGGTCCAATCAATTATGGGAGGTTAACATCTCCGCATAAAACAATCCTCAACATCTCCCAATAAAGTTGGATTTCATCAATGAGCAACATCATCTTAGCAAATTTAACTCTCATATTATCAGACAAGTTGTGCTACTCAAAGAATTGATCTATATTACTAATCCATATAACAAGTATTCAAGGGTCATGACTCTGTAAAAAGTAGGGGTTTCTATTTTGTTAGGGCTTATGACTTGCTCATCAAGGTCATCGTGTTTGGAGTAACTTAAATGATAGTCTTACTGGTGGCGCTCAAGGTGAACTTGCCTGCAATGATTATTCCTGTGATATTTATTGGTATTTGGGTGCCTTATCTTTAAACATGTTGGTTATCTAGGTTTGCAACTCCCTTTAAATGGTCCTAAAAGTATTACTAAGGGTTAGATCCACGATAAGTATAGATTTAAGTTTAGATATTAGATGATCATGACACACATGCGCTTAACATTAATTTAAAAATAGAATTGAGATCACAAATGATTTTTAAAAGTGAAATCACAATAGAAAAAAAAACTAATTCCATTATTTTTTTAGTGTGGAGATTAATCAAGAATAGAATATACTAGAAAATTTTAAGCATGTATTGCTAGACCCTTAAGTGTAAATGATTAATCAAATAAAAATCGCAACTTTTCAGTAGTTTCGATAAGCTCCACAATTAATTAAAATAATTAATAACAAAATTTGAATGACAAAATATAAAATGAGCAATGATATAAGACTGTAATGCAATTAGAGTGGTTTTTTAGGCATAGACTTCCTATCAATGATAATTTAAATAAAAGTGCAGTACTAGAACAATAGAATTCAACGTATCTAAAGGTAAAGTGATTTACTGATTTACTGACCAGATTGCTTGGTGATGATGATAGACCACTTAGATCACTACTGTCTATGTAGTGTAATGGAACTCCAAATTGATTTTTTTCCCCTGACTTTTAACTTTTTTCTCCCTTACAATAAGCTACACATTAACTTAAAGAAAGAAAATAAAAAAATAAAATAACATAAACATTGTTATGGAATTAAGCAGTAAATTAAAAAAGAGAATTTGACATTCTTTATCACTCCCTTTTCTCTTAAAATCTGGGCATCGAGTGTTCTTCCTTTCTTTTTTTTTTTTTTTTGTATTTGCAAATCCCTTTATGCTCTACTTGGACAAAACAAACTGTTTCAAAAGACACTAGCCTTTTGACAAGGACACCAAACAGTTGGCAAAATATAGCCAAGGTGGTTGGTGGAGTGAAACTTGCTGAGGAAGTGAATGATGTTGTTGACAATCTGGCACGATCTGGCATTAAGGAACTGCTGTGGAGTAATTGGTGGCTTCTGTGAAGGGGTCTACCATGTCAGTGGGCTGCTGATTTTGTCTGGTGCGCTGGCTGATGTGGCTAGGAAGGATGAATGGTGGCTGCTGTCGGTTTGGAGATCAATTGATGTGGATGTTTTGCACTGCTGGGTTTGGTGGCCTGGTACGGGGTTTATTGATGATAGGAGGCTGTGGGGTCAAGATGGGTGGTGACTGAAATGTTTTTGTTTGTGACTTTGGGAACTGGTATGTGTGGGGTGTTTTGGGCAATGGTGGTGTTGAATTGAATCGATGTTGCTGCGGTGGCTGGGGTGAGGCTGGCTGATAGGTTGATTTTCCAGTGTTGGTTATGAAAAGAGGGGAGGGTTGCTGATTTGACGGACTAGTGGGTGACTGGTTAGTGGTGTGTTGCCATGAGGGGTTGTTGTGCTGGGAAAGTGGTGTGGCTGGTGTCTGTGTTCAGCATGGTGGCTGAGGCTGAAGACTGGCTGTTACAATTGGTGTGTGGGGGTGGCTGGAGGATGAGGAAGATGAACAATAGCTAGGGTTAGGGTGTAAAGGGGTGTTTCATTGGATTTTTTTCTTCAGATCTCACCTGTAAACATAAAGATTAAACAATTTTTTTTTCTCTAGATCAACCGTTGATGAGATTCTACACAATTTCTAGGTTTTATATATTGTGTTGAATTTTGAGGATTTTTACAAGCTCTAATAGATTGATTAATTGTAAGAACAATACAAAACTTGGGTCTGATATCAAAATTGAACGGTACAAAAGAGATTTGAAGCCTAATAAGAACGAAAATAAGAAGTTAAAAGAAGCCTAAGAAAGAGAAGAAAAAGCTAAAGAAAAGAAAGAATAGGATTGGAAAAATATACAACTTTGCAAATTTTATTCAATTCATCAAAAACTAAAATGTAATGTCAAGAAAATTTCATATAAATAATAAAACCCTCATTAGAATCAAATTTAGGTTTAAAACCCACTAACCAATAAAAATCTAATAAAATCATATAAATTGAAGTCCAATAATAAAGGTAATTAAAATGTAATAACTAGGTCTTTGATGAGCCCAATCTTCTAATCAATGAACAACTTGTTAGGCTACCCTCCATCATCTATAATCATATGAGTGCGTAAATAATTTTTTGGGTTTAGTGTCCCCGCTAAATTAACTGAGATAATAAGAAATTGTTTTACCGAGGGATGCTGGGGATTACACCTTCATTTAGTTTATGGCTTGAAGTTGAATGTTAAAACCTACCTTTGCTTGGCCTGGATGTTGTCTAAATAATAGATAATGAAATAATAATATGAAGAATCATATTCACTTTTAAGCTTTGAAATGATGAGACAATATAGGCCTCCTCATGTGGTGTTTCTTAATGGCTCTGCTATGCTTCAAATTGATTCTTTGTAAAGCTAAGGCATTTTCAGTATTTGGCCTCAGCCTTTTTTACTTTATTTAACTTCTTTTGCTCCACTTCTTTGCCATTCCTTCTCTATTGAACTAAGTATTCGTAATCAGTTCCGTATACTGGGGATGCGTGTTTTCTTGAGTTAGTCTATTTCTAATTGGTTCCTGCTGGTTTGAGCAAGTTTATCTCACCATCAAGGTTTCTGCCTAATTAAAGGCTAAACTTGTTACTGTTTGTCATTATATATGCTAAATTATATGATAGTATTGCTGCAACTACTACTGTGTATGACTTCAGTTCATCATTTTCAGTGTTTGCAGTTGTTCTACTAATTTCTTGTTCTCTTTCTTTTATAGCTGCTGATGTACTCCTTTGGAAGTGGTGGCGTGTTTCTTTTGGTGTCATTATGGTTGCAACTGTATCATGGTTCATATTTGAGCGGTCTGGATTGCCATTCTTAACAGTTTGTTCTGATGTGTTGCTTATCTTGATTGTATTGCTGTTTGTCCGTGCCAACATAGCTGTTATGATAAACAAGTATGCCTAATGCCATCTACATTTTTCATTTGCAGCTCCTTATTGTTTCAGTTCCAAAACCATTTCTAATTTCACTTTTTTTTTTGAGCAGACAGCTTCAATCGTTACCAGAGTTAGTTTTGTCAGAGGAAATGGTTAACAGTGCTGCAGCATCATTCCGTGTGAAAATTAATAATGTTCTTCTTATGGCTCATGACATTACTCTCGGCAAAGATTTTAGAGTCTTTTTCAAGGTCATTGTTGATTGACTTAATAACATGCTTCTTATGCTCATGATACTCCCTTTTGGAAAAGTTTTTAGAGTCCTTTTCAAGGTCAATGTATCGTCTTGAAAAGGGTCACAGATGTTAGATTGTATTTTTCAAGGTAAGTATAAAGAAGGAAAAAAGAGTTCCACTATGTGTAATTGAAGATTTATTAAGCTGTTTTGATTTTTTCTTTGTTGTAGTAGTTTATGTAGTAAACTGTAGGCATTCAGTCTTAAAGGAAAACTAGAACTCTAGAACAATAAAAAATTGCAGGAATTTCAAAATTTTTAATTACTATATACATATGTATATGGATTGATATGTATGTTTGAATTTGTAATTCAAGAAAATGCATATAAAATTTGAGTTAACTAAATTTTCTCCAGAAGAGTTAATTTGACACTGCTTGATTTGATTGAGTAGGGGAAATGGGCGAGTTGAGTTATGGGGCATGGAAAACAGACTAGTCGGGACTTGCAAGTATACTTTTAAATGCTCTTTTCCTTGAGCGGACAGTAGGAATATTTGATTGGCAACGTTCTGTACTTTTATAAGTGAAGCGTGCAAAGGTTGCCATTCTACAGCATTCCAGTAGGATCTCTAGATGGTTGAATACAGTTTTGAGAGTCTATCTTAATGAAGTTACAATGTCTTCTATTTGTTTATTGTCTCGCTAACTAATTTAATTGTTCATTTGATAGGTGGTGGTCTTTCTCTGGCTCCTGTCTACTGTTGGTAGCTACTTCTCTTTCTTCACTCTGGCTTATATTGGTACGCATGGCGTGTCAGCTTTGTTAGTCTTAGTTAAGTGCATCTTTTGATTTTTGGAAGCCAACATTGTGCCCAAGTTTCTGGGGGAAATATCACGCAGAAAACTTAAGTCTTATTTAGGGAGATGGCACAGTTTGTTAAGCTGCAGCATCAAACTTACTGGAAATTAGCAGAAAACTAATTTTGAAAAAAAAAAAAAATTTAAAATCGCATCCCATAAAAACTTAACCAGTGCTCTGTGAATATTCTGGATGTAAACTATTGCAAAATATAGCCTTGTTCTAAACATGGGAGACATTTTTTTTTTTTTTAAGGTTTATGGGAGGTCCAAAAGGCTTGGGTTATACAAATCATCCACCAGCTTATTAATTCCAATAGTTGAACATAAGGCTTTTCCAGTAAAAACCCCAAGTTTTATTAAGTTGAGCCTACGGAAGGGCAGATTGAAAATTTAAATTCAGTTCCTTTCAAATCTTCATTCTGTTTTATGAACCAAATTTATTTATTGCCGTGGCAGATGTTTTTTTTTTTTTTCAAAATTAAAGGCCGTGGTAGTACCACTACCGCAACCTTCAATTTGTTTTCAAATTTGAAGGCTGCAGCAGTGACACTGCCACAACCAATAAAATTTAATTTGATCGTGCCAGTGATGCTGCTGCAGCTCAACAAACTTTGCTATTCCCCCCCCCCCCCCAAAAAAAAAAATTGGGCACTGTGCAAGTTTTGAAAAAACTGATATTTGGAACTGTGAATTCCACCTTAGTTAAAACCCTGGATGCCCTATTCCCTTTGCTCTGAAGTTTATTTTTGTGGAAGGCTTTTCTTGCGATATATATGCCTGTTTTTGAACCTTGTGACATTCTTTGAAATTTGTTATCGTGCATGTGGATGTTACCATTGTCTGGTCTCTTGAAATTGTTTGAATACTTCATATTGTTTGGACCAAAATATTAACATGTTTACCACTGATATTTGATAACAGGAACAATCTTATCCATCACAATCCCTGCCTTGTATAGCAGATACGAAGAACGTGTTGATAGATGTTGTGGGATAATCCATAGAAAATTATCACATCACTATAAGATAGTGGATGAGAGTGTTATTAGCAGAATCCCGCAGAGTTTATCCAAGGACAAAGACTCATGAGTCTGATGTACATATAGGTTACCGTTGAGCCTGCTTTACAGTTCAGAAGTTCAAACCCTGCCAACTTTCATTGGATGGCAGGCTTCATAGCTTAAGTTTCTTATGAAATTATCTCGTTCACTGCTTCAATTACTGAGATTATTTCTTGTCGCTTAACATGAGCAGCCACACCTCTCTCCATACCCTTAGCAGATCAAACATATTACTGTTAGCTTGTGTGAATAACTGAAGTTTTGAAGCTCAGGTAGTCCGTTTTTCTTTTGGTGTCAATTCTGAAGACTTACACTTTCCAGTTGGCGAAACCCAACCTTTGAGCCTGGAAGTTCGAATCTCACTCGCAATCAAAGTTTTTAGAGCTAGTTCTTCTATCAATTATGCACATGATCTTCTCGTTGTATTTGTTCCAAGTCCCAGACAGGTGCAGCCTGCTGGAACACCGAATAAATGATTTCAAGGAATGTTCAAGTTTCAATGCTAACGATTGTTTTACAAATAGTTTTTAAATCAACCTCGGGTCTAGGTCCATGCATGAAATTGCTGATCAGGTTCATCAGGAAGTCATCATGACCGTAGTGAGGGTAATCCATACAAGTAGCCCTTCTGCGCGTAGCTGCTGTTATATTTGATTTTTCAGCCACACAAGGAATGCCCCAGATACAAAGGATGACAACGGGAAGTGCATGGAACTTGATAAAATGTATTCAGAGGTGCTATAGAACAAAGGCTGAGCCAAAGCTTAATTAGCTGACGAGTCGAATCTTGATAAATTCACATGAGACATAACTGAGGTTCAAAACAGCTTCAAGAGCATCAGACGATGCACTGTATTGCATGCATAAATCAGCCATGGTAGCTGTCACGAGGATAAAATTTTTGACGCAATCTTAATCCCAACGCGATAGTCTAGTCTTGTTACTAGACTCAGTCTATCTCCCGATTCACTTGTGTTTGTCTAAAGTCTAAGTGTTTCGCACACCCAGAGGTTCTCCCCACAACTCTTACCAATTTCAGCAACAAAAACACAAGTTAAGATTTAACACAACACAATAAGAACACCAGCACTTTACAGGAATCAACCCAACCTTTATTAATTCATGAACAAAGGAATACACAACAACAATGTGTGTGTGCTATGCACAATCTGAATCTGCATGCTACACATGTTTAGGCCATATGTAATACACATACATTCAATGGACATTCAATGGAAGTTACACATAAAACTGCCCCCTGACAGTTTAATTCTCTCTAGACAGCACAACACATTTCAGCAACAACTTACTGCCTCAGAACTGCTATGTAACTGCCTCGCAACTGCTACGTAACTTCCTCGCAACTGCGACGTAACTGCCTCGCAACTACGACGTAACTTCCTCGCAACTGCTACGTAACTTCCTTGGTTTGCCACCCAACAAACCAAACTGCCCAAACTGATTTTCCCAGCTGCCAGCCCTCACTTGCAACTCAAGATGACTTAGACAGTCCATCGTCGAAGTCTAGTGTGGTGCGAAGCGTAAACTCGCTGTTCGCACGCACCTGTTACATTCGCTGCCGAAATCTGCATTGTCTACGCATACTGCCTCTACATTGCGTGACGCTACTGCGTAGCAGCGAATCGTTGGCGCGCCCTTGCGCCTAAGGCTGTGACAAACCTCCCCCACCAGGAGCCGACACCCTCGTCGGATCAGTAGCAAGATAATCCTGCACCAAGTCTTCAAACTGCCATAAGTCAGTGTCTTTCTCCCAAGAAACCTCTTGACCGTCTTCTCATTTCACAAGAAATTCTGTTCGATGATTTTTCTTGTGCTGACCAAGTCTCCTATGGTCCAAAATCTTCACAATTTTCCGCTCAAATTGCTTCTGAATTGTAGGTGGAGCCCTTAGTGATCTGCCCCTTTCCGAATCCTCAACATCTTCGTGAAAAGGTTTTAGATAGCTAACATGGAATGTGGGATGAATCTTCAGCCTTTCTGGTAGCTTCAGCCTATACGCGACAGCACCCACTTTTCCGATCACCTCAAACGGCCCATCATACCTTGGCACTAATCCACGGTGTCGATTTTTCCCAACTATCTTTTTCCATATCTGTGGAGTCAACTTCAACAGCACCCTGTCACCAACATCAAACTCCAAAGGTCTCCGCTTCTGATTAGCGTATTTCATCATACGCTTGCTTGCCCTTCGCAAACTGTCTTGCGCTTGTTCGAAGAGTTCCTGCCTCTCCCTCGCAAATCTATATGCGGCTGGACTCTTGTTCGAAGAGTTCCTGCTATCTCCGCTGGAGTTTGAGGCTGCACCCCCAACACTAGCTTGAATGGACTCAAATCTGTCGCTGACGATTTGTGGAGATTATAACTGAATTGCGCACTATCAAGCAACTCAAGCCAGTTTCTTTGTGTTGCTGTCATATAGTGTCGAAGTTACTCCTCCAATAATGCATTAATCCTCTCCGTTTGTCCATCCGTTTGCGGATGATTGGCTGTTGAGAACTTCAGCCTTGTTCCCATCAGCCCAAACAATACTGTCCAGAATCGTCTAGTGAATCGCACATCGCGATCGCTAACCACATCTGAAGGAACCCCAAAGTATTTCACCACATGTTTGTAAAACAAGCCAGCAGCCACTTCAGCCGTGCATACTGATGGTGTAGCCACAAAAACAACATACTTCGAAAACCTGTCGACAATCACCATAACAACGTCCATCCCATCAACTTTCAGAAATCCCACTACGAAGTCCATCGAAATTGAAGTCCATGGCCTTTCTGGTATCGGCAAAGGCTGCAATAACCCTGCTTCCTTCTGCCTAAGCACCTTGTCCTGCTGACAAACCAAGCAAGTTTAGACGTAAAGCTCTATGTCAAACTGTATTTTCGGCCAGTAATAGGTTTCTGCCAAGAGAGCCAACATGCGCTCTCGTCCCGGATGACCTACTCACCGTGGGTCATGCGTTTCGGCCAGCAAGTGTTTTCTCGATTTCCCACTTGGAAGATAAATTCGACCCCCTTTAGCATAGAGAAGGCCCTCATCCAGCCAATACCTTTGCATAGTCCCCTCCCGTACGAGATCAACTAATTTGACATACGCTGCATCTTCCACGGCAGCCTGCCTTAACCGATCCAGCATATCGGATTCTACATGATCCATCGCAATCACACTAGCAAGCATCTCACGCTTGCTCAACGCATCCGCAACTTGATTGTGTTGTCCTGGCTTATGTTCCCACATGAAATCATATTCGGCCAGGAATTCCTGCCACCTAGCCTGCAGCTGCGACAACTTCTTCTGAGTTTTGAAGAATGTATTAGCCAAATTGTCCGTCTTCACTACAAACTTCGGCCCCAACAGATACACCCTCCACATGCCAAGACAATGCACTACGGCTGCCATTTCTTTCTCATGTGTGGAATACCTCTGTTCCGCCTCGCTTAGCTTTCGACTCTCGAAAGCCACTAGATGACCCTCCTGCACTAGAACACCCCCTACTGCCTTGTCCGAAGCATCAGTGTGCACCTCAAAAGATTTCTCAAAATCCGGTAGTTTCAGCACTGGAACAGACGTTACAACCCTCTTCAGCTTGTCGAATGCGAGTTGGCATTCGCTAGACCAGTCCCAACATCGATTTTTCTTCAAAAAATCCGACAAAAGGGTTGCCTTCTTGCTGTAACCCTCTATAAACTGACGATAATAATTTGCCAAGCCTAAAAATGACCTCAGCTCAATCACCATCGACGGGGCTGCCCAATCCCATATAGCCTGCACCTTCTTCGAATCCATCCGAACCTGCCCAAAACTCACCAAATGCCCCAAGAACGTGATCTCAGAACAAGTAAATTCACACTTTTCCTTCTTGACAAACATTTCATGTTCTTTCAGTCTACGCAGCACCTTATCCAAGTGCACAACATGCTCATCCATACATCGGCTAAAAATAACAATATCGTCTAGATAGACAACCACAAACTCATCCAAATACTCATAAAGAACATCATTCATTAAATTGCAGAATGTAGCTGGAGCATTGGTTAAGCCAAATGGCATAACCATAAACTCGTATGACCCATACCTTGTCACACAAGTCGTCTTGTGCTCATCCCCCTCAGCAACTCTAACTTGCTAGTATCCAGACCTCAAGTCCAGCTTTGTGAAAACAGAAGCCCCACTCAATCTGTCGAGTAAGTCTTGAATCAACGGCACAGGGTATTTGTTCTTAATCGTTACCTTGTTCAATGCGCGATAATCCACACACATCCGCAAGCTACCATCTGCCTTTTTCTGAAACAGAACAGGAGCACCATATGGAGCTTTCAAAGGTCGAACAAAACCTGCATCAATCAATTCCGTCAACTGCTTTCTCAATTCGCCCAAATCCCTTGGCGACATACGATACGGAGGCTGCGACGGTGGTGTCGCACCAGGCACAAGTTCTATCTTGTGATCAACAGCCCGCCTTGGTGGAAGCTTTTTGGGCAACTCTGGAGGCATCACATCTTTATACCCCTCTAACAGCCCAACAATAACTTCAGGCACTGACCCAACCTGTTTTGACTCCTCAGTCACGGTTACTGCCAAGAACACTTCACCACCTTTCTTCAAGGCCTTGCTGATCGCAATGGCTGAAACCAAGCTAATTCCCTCCTTTCGACTTTTAGCCACCACTGCTTGATAACAAGGAACAAAACAAGGACATACCTCATTCGCAATCAGAATTCCATCCAGATGAGGCATCAACGCAATCTTGGCTCTCTTCAGAAAATCTAAGCCAAGAATGACGTCAAAATCGTCAAGCGTCACTACCAATAAATCCTGCTTTCCCTGCCACTTATCCAGCACCATAGGCACGCTATATGCCATGCCCAGTATCCGCTGCGCCTTGGCATTCACTGCCTTCATCAAAGTCTGGCTGTTACTCAAACGCAACCCAAGCTGCGTCACCAATCTGCCGACAACGAATGTATTCGTAGCACCAGAATCCAACATAGCCACTATCTCCTTGTCATTAACTCTAATTTTAACATACATTAGAGAATCCACAGCACCCAATTTACCTTGTCGCAGCACATCAATCCGTGCTAAGTCAGTTTCGACAAGACTGGATTCGGCCACCGAATCCTGCATCTCAGCAACTAAACAATTCAGTACACGCATTGGGTTTATGTGCGTGACTGTTTCCTCTTGTTCACTATCACCCACAAGAATTGCATTCAACCTTTCCTTCTTCGGGCATTCTCTTGCATAGTGTGGTCCACTGTAAATGAAACAACCTGCATTCGACTTGCTGGGGTCTCTTTGTTGCACATCAGCCTGCTTGACTTTTCCTTTATCATTCCCAGGCTTGTATCCTCCCCCACCGAACTTCTTTTTCTTCCTCTTTTCATCCCTCTTATCCTTAGCCTTGAATCTTGAGGGGACAACAATAGAACCATCTCGCGTTACTGTCTTAAAGTCGACCAAACTAT